GTGGAGACCCAAAGACCATCTGTATGCAATTGGACATCCCCTTACGGAAGGATCAAGGGGAGGAGATGAGCCAGTCAGGGTGCAATGTAGCAACGATGAAACATACAACTTTCCTCTGTTCCTAAATGCTTCTCCCACCTGCCCCACTACTATGATCCCAATTCTACCTTACAAATTTGGCTAGACCAGAGGATGTACACTGGTACAGATAGGAACTGGAAACACAGGGAAGTCAAGGCGGATGAACCCTTCAGGACCAGTGGTGTGAGTAGTGATACTAGGAGGGTAGAAAGAGGGTGGGTTAGAAAGGGGGAACCTATTACAAGGATCTACATGTGACCTCCTCCTTGGGGGATGGACAACAGAAAGTGGGTGAAGGGAGATGCTGGACAGGGCAAGATATGACAAAAATAATAATTTATAAATTATCAATGGTTCATGAGGTAGGGGGGAGCAGGGAGGGAAGTGGAAAAATGAGGAGCTTATATCAAGGGCTTAAGTAGAGAGCAAATGTTTTGAGAATGATGACGGCAATGAATGTACAAATGTGCTTTACACAACTGATGCATGTATGGATTGTGATAAGAGTTTTATGAGCCCCTAATAAAATGACTAAAAAAATTAAAACAAAAAAGAGATTTCGTGTAAAATACTTTCCAGTGAAGAAAAACTACATTTACATGGTATTATTCTAGCATGCGGTTACAAATATGAATAAGACAATAAGAGTTACCACTGAAAAGTCAGTCCTAATATACACATTAAAGTACAGAATTTTAAGTGAGAGCATTGTTTAATCAATGTTGTGATTACTCAGTTTGACTTATTTTAAATACGAAGATTATATTGAGCAATCAATGCTCTTTAAGGCCACCAACTAGTTTTAGTGCATATGCTTTTCAACCCATTCATAATTAAAAAAAAAAAAAAGATAAAAAATCAGTTATGAGTCAAAATTGCAGTTACATACATAAAAATAATTTCATATAGATGTGGAATTTCCTGATAATAGTAATAATAAGCAATGCAGTTGTGTAAGCATAAGCATCAAGGAAATCAAATTATTTCCACAAAAATTAGTTTTCTCTTCTAGTATTAAAAGTATTTTGTGGAACTACCAGTAGTGAACTAATTTTAAATATGTGAGATGGCTGTGAATATGAAAAATACTGTTAAAGTAATAATTTAATATCTTTTTTTATAACACTAATGACCACTTCTATCTAACTTGTCTAGTCAAATTACAGAAATATATACAGTATGCAGTAGACACAAAGGAGATTATATGAAATAAAGTATTTTTGCACTTCCACAGAATTTAACAGCACAGCAAAAGTATTCTAAATAGTGTTTACAGTTGAAAATAGTAGCACATTCAACCTCAAGCCCAATGTATTTGGGGGTAAAGGATTTTTAATTTAAAATATTGTTATAAACAGGTGACCTTACATGTTGGGCTGCTAGCTGTAAGGTCGGCCAGTAGATGAAATCAACAACCGCTCCAAGGGATGCAACTTTCTACTCCTGTCAAGAGGTACAGTCTCAGAAACCCAAGGGGCAGTTCCACCCTGTCCTACAGGGTCACTGAGTTCCTATAGGGTCACTATGAGTTCGATGGCACTGAGTTTTTTTTCCTTAAAACAAGTAGTCCATAAGTCCTTTCCTAGCTATACTACTCAGCATGGAGCTAATGTGAAAATCACTAGCATTTTACTAAGTGCTCAAAAATTATGATGATGATAAACTGATGTCTTAAAGGGTGAGAGTGGTAAACATTTGGTTGAGATACTGTAGAGACATTCAGACAGTGGCAGGATGGCATGATAGAGAAAA